ATGAATAAAATAAAGGATGGGGAGAGAGGAGGCCGATGGACGTGGAAGTCGACATTGCCTTCGCGATGCACACATGCAGTGTGTATGTAGGTGTGTTTGAGAAACGAGGCGAAGAGGCGCATCTTTAGACAATTTCGTCACACGTGAATTATTCAGGGCCGGGGGGCATACACGTACGGGAATGAAATTGGCCTCGTGTTTACCAATAAATGTTGCTACTCTTGCTGGGCAATGTCACACGGGGGCCCAGGCAAAAAGCTGAAGGAATTACATGTTGGCTCTCGGACACTTCGGCATGGCATGCACACGAGGCAGAAACAAAGGCACACTTTCGTAGAGGGTAGAAAACATTTTTTTTCCCCTCGTACTACACCAAAACTTCCTTCATTAAAAGTGCCATTTCAACAAGATATTCAAAATGAACGCGTCTCATTTATTCCGCATCAGGATTTATTTATCAATTTATGTTGATACTGAACTCCAGTACTTGAGATTTCTTCTTGTGTTCGGGAAAATATTTTTCGCGTTTAATGCCAACTATTTCCAATGTGTAGTTCGCTTTCTCGCATTCCTGTCCACTGAAAGATCATCATGATGAAGCATTGCATACACCAGAATTCAAACATTGAATTGGTACAGAGCAACTGATGTAAAATACGGGTGTGACAAAGAATTTACGTCTCACAAAGTTAACTTATGCGTAGGAGGTAGGTTAACTCAGACGATTCAATGATCTTATCCGGTTTCGGTTGATCTGAGTTTCATGTAATTGTATCGTCGCTACAATAAGACTAACATTATTGAAATGTACATTTTATTAACGAATTTTTCCAAATGGTGCTACGAGTTCTTCCGGAAGAATTTAGACAACGCATTAAAAGGTACTGAATGTAGCATGAGAATGATTCGTAATGAATGATTCGGGTTCATAATACTGTATTCAGTACCAGATGATACACCATAACGGATCATCAAGAAACTTACAAATTATGTATGCCCTCTCCAATGTCGGATACGACGCACATAATTTGTCATCGAATTTAAAAAGAAGCAACCCTTCGAAGTGATGTACAATTTAGCATTGAAAAAAACGACAATGATGAAAGCTGAGCTTGAAATCGGTACTTGAAAAATTGAAATGCTCTGTACCAAATTTTTTATTGATGAATAAATGTTCGAATGACAGGCTCTCTTGACGAAAAATTGTTAAAAGATGCACCGAGAACGACCCTTTCCGTTTCGAAAACTTCCGCAAAAAAATGTAGAACACATCGGCTTTTGAGAACAAAATATTTATTGTGTGTCTGGGCCATCGTAGGATGGAAATGCGGGATGAAACTTGATCAATTTCATCGAAAATGGACGCTTCCACATAACTCGGGGGATTTCACTCGCATTCACTGTTTTTTCTCTCCTAGCGCTCTCACAAAAAACTCGAACATTCAGAATTCGGAAAAGTAGTACTGTACCGGTAAATCGGAATAGGAACAAGTACGAATGACAGATCAGTCAAGCTTTGAAATCCAATAAAATTTCATTAACTGAATTCTCACTCGACAACAAAAATCGGTACTTCAAATGAACAAATAACCCAACACAAGCTTCCGTGATTCGTCGGTAAATTCGTTGTTCGAACACAGGTTCTGCTACATTATATTGCCCCGAGAAGATCAATATTCCTCGGGCTCAAGAAGTTCTTTTGTTATTAGAGAAAGCGGAAAGGCAAGCAAACAGTTACACGTAAATTTAAAAATGATTGAACAAAGGGTTTCGTGGTGACAGCCTTGAGTTTACGCGGGAATTTCGAATTAGAAAACTTTGATTCCCGAACTCCCGCACAACCACATTACACGGTAACTTGGAATGGAGGAGGATCGACGTCGGTGGTAGCGCAAGCAATCAACCAAAGGACAAAATAAAATTTTAAAAAAAAGGAAACGAAAACACTCTCTTCGATAGACTTTTCCCGTTTCTCGCAAATGGATGTGAATCGGGAAGATACACGATTTTTGCGCGTTTCCCGGCGGGCGGGCGGAATAAACTCGATCACTTGGCTCGGGGATCGGACGAGGGCTCGAGATGTTCATCAAGGCGTCTGACTGCGACGCTCGTCTCCGCCGCCTCCAGCAGGCGGTTGTGGGGGCGACACGGGGGACGCAGGGGCAGGAGGAGGAGGAGGAGGAGGAGGAGAAGGAAGAGGGGTAGAATGCGCAGGAGGAGTCATTTGTGCCACAAGCACCGACGAAGAGGAAGAGGAGGAAGTGGTAGTGGTGGTGGGTGTGGTGGAGGTGGTGCCAGAGGGCGGCGGGTGCGGGCGATGGTCGAGCACGTCGCCGTCCGAGTCGCACACGTCCAGCTCGGACGCCGTGTCCGACTCGAGCTGCATGCGGCGACGCTGGTCGCGCATGGACCGGAACACGGCCGAGTCCGAGTTGGAGCGTTCGCAGATCTTGCAAAAGGGCGGTCGGGCGGTGCGGCCGCCGAGCGGGGCCGACGGCGACGGCGTCTGCTCCGACCCGCGCCGCCGACACACCACGCACCCGCCGCTGCCGTTGCTTTGCGGCACCCACACGGCGGCGTCGTCCTGCGTGTGCTTCTCCGCCGGCTGCAAACACTCCCTGTGCGACGAACGATCAAACCAACTAAGAATCACGCGCCCGGCTTCACACAAACCCAGTCACAAATACGGTACCCGGTCCCGACACTGTTTGGTTGGTTCTCTCGATGTAGGGGGGAAAGAATCTTGGGATTCTCAACTCATTTCTAGCGAAATGAAGTTTTTTTTTTCGTTCATGCGAAAAAAAATTGTCTCCCGTTGAGTCCCTCAAACTAGCGAACACAAAGCCCCAAGTTTACATTGCGCCCAGGGTAGAAGTCGACATTGAATTTCTTTCGAGAAATGAAGCATGAATATGCAGAACAAAAAAACCTTACAATGTCTTCGTCGTGTTGTGAGTGCGAGAACAACAAACAATAAAATTCTAGATTATGTGATGTTCAGTACGTATACTACGCACGAAAATTCCGAAATTTGCATGGAGCCAATAACTTTTGTATCTTTCTTGAAATCTAATAACATCACAAGAAAAACACTTTTTTTCATCTCCATTTAAAAAGAGAAAATAGCTCGTGAATTCGAAAAACGAAGCCTAAACCGCCCTTGAGAAGTGCGAACTGTTCTGGCGAAGCAATATGTCCTCGAATTTCAATTACTTGCGAAAAAATGGAAATTGAAGCGCTGACGAAAATTTCCGATCGCAAAATTTCAAAGTTTGAATGATCTGAGGAAGGAATTTACATGTTGTTAAACCGATGCTTAAATATTGAGAGTAAAAATTTACATGAAACTTTTAATTTGTCGCTTACTTGGTATTTTTACATCTATTTTCCAACAACAGTCCAAACCCCACCAACGAGATGTATCTTTCCAAAATAACTAAAACGAGGATCGAAAAACAAATGTAAACCTCGGCCAATTCCTTCAAACTTCGGACGTAGGGGGACGTGAAATCATATTTACGAGGAAAAGCTCGGGCTTATTCGCATCGTGAAGAAAGACTAATACAGTTCCTTAATTCTTATTCAGCACGTAAAAATCTACTCCACGTGAAATTTTCCGTGCAAGCAAACACATCAACGTAGCTTAACAAGCTGTGCAAACTGATCATCGATTTTTTTTTTACACGGTGCAAAGACGCAAGCTCGACACGAACAAAAAGGACACCAATGCATTCTTCCAACATGCAGCACAAGCCTCTGCACAATGCTTTCATCCCATTCTATTTTCAGTCGAAGTCCCTAGAGACAACTGCAACGCCCTTGTACGCTTTTAATCAGTCGAATTCTCCCTTATTTAGAGCCAATATGCGCTTTGAACAACCGGACAAATCTTAGCTCAGCACAAAGAAGCATTACAGACGATCACTTTTATCGAAGACTCTTGGATGCAATAAAAGCATCAACAATCGATTTCGATTTGAATTTCGAAAACTCGAAGCGAACTGAATGGTCTACAAGCGATGTAACGTAATTTTAAAACGAGACTTAGGCCGAACTTGAACAATATCTACCCAGTCATCGGAACATGCAGTGTTTTTATCATGTCCCCTTCCCAAAATAATTCGTTTCAAATTCCGCTGAAAAAATACGAAACAGAAATTATCCGTCCTCAGTCTCAATTACAGTATAAATGAAAAATAACCTTAGGATATTGCTTCCGCAAATAACATGAAAAAAGACAATATATTAAAAAAAAAAAACGCGAGCTGTTGTTATTTCCTCGAACAAGGTGTCACGAAAAATGTATTAAATTATGTAGGTATAGAAAAACGCATCGACTTTTCATGATCGATCGATCTTCCATCACACTCTTGACGGTACCCTCCGAAGTTGAGCGAGTTCACTTGAAGACGTGAGCATTACTTCAAGTCGGTAACACGTGGATGACCTGACAGTGACATCGACCTGTATTACTGTACAATAAATCGCTAAAAATGAAGACGTGCGAAACCGATTTCTTACGGTCAAAACTTATTTTTTCAAACAAAAGGATCGGCAAATAACCTCTCTTGCACAACTTGCAATAGGCAATCTTAATTTAAATCTATAAAAAACTAAGCCCAAAGCTCCAAGCCACGAAAAGGGCAAAAACGTGCGAATTCTGCAAGCATTCTCTGTTCACTCAAACTTGGGCAATTCTCGCAGTTATCAATTCAAAACAAGTAGCATTCAAATAATTTATTAAAACGAGGATTTTATCCTACTAAAATGATGCATGCGACGAAAAGATTCGATGGTGCGCGAAATTTAATGTAGATCGAGGAGCATTTTAAAGTTTGCTTTCGCAGGTCTCTGAAAGAAATTCATCATCTGATCAAGGTTAGCGAAATTTCAAAAATTAAAAATTACACTAAACCTGCGACAAAATATAACACTTAAAAACTAAATAAAACGAGGATGGAATGCTCCTTTTAAACACATGAAGAAAACTGTGCTATGGGAAAAACAATCCCAGAGAAGAATATCAAAATATCTTCGTAAAAAATCCTACGAAACCTTGTCAATTTATTTCCAAAAAATACGATCATATTGTAGAAATAAAAAAAACACACTTTGAAGGTGACTAATCTAACTTGACCGGCAACTATCAAAATTTTCTGAAATCTCTGAACGAGTTCGTGAAACCTTTTTTATTTGTTGCTCTATATCCTGGAAAATGTTTCGCTGAAATTTTATTTCGCACCTCTGAATTCGCTACACTGAGACCCGCCGTTTTTTGAACGCGCCATTTCAAAACGCATTCAATTTTCTGTTCAATGAGTTTGAGCTTCAAAAATTGGCGAAGGGGAGGAAAAAAAAAGACTTGGAAGATATCGAAGCCGCCTCAGCTTCGCCGTCTCAAGTGAACTCGCGTAAACACCAACAGAATTGGGGGAGCGATGACACAAGTCGGGAGAAAACATCGACAAAGCAGTGTCAACGAGTAAAAAAAAGTAATAAAAATAAATAAATAAATAAATAAATAAAGAAGTCGTTCAACGCCGAAGAAAAACTCACCCGTCGGGATGCGAGGTGCGCCCGCGACGCTTGGTGACGACGTGGGCTTTGTTGAGAACGGACAGGTGGATAATTGAGGGTTTCACACGACACGCCTCTCCGTCCACTTGCATGGGAATGGTCTTCCTCGTCACGATTTTTGCGCTCTGGCACTGGCAAATACAAGTGCCGTGGCCCCCGGCTTGCAGCAACGGCTGGAGAGAGCACCAAAATAGAACACACCCCCGCCACGATCGATCAGCACAAATAAGGGCGAACACAATGTCACACTCTGGCTCGGACAACATTCCTAGCTGCTGCTCGACAGTCTCGACACCAACATGCTTCATTGGGGGAAGGTCGCGACCAAATATATTGTTCCAAACGCAAATGACGAAGGTTATATTAATCTCCATAAAACCAATTTTCAATCTTGATATTTTCAAACGCTTTCGGAATATATAATCGAGCTCATCTAGGCGTTGCAGAACTGCATCAAGCGAACGCATTCGGCTTTACTTCGCCGGACATTCAAAGAAAAAAAATGCTGTCATCTTAGGAATAATGTACAGCATTTATCTACACCGGAATCAAATAATGTATTGTACCTACAATTTGAAAAAATTCTTTCCGAGAACAAAACTTCGACTTGAGAATTAGCTGCCATTGAAATTTAAATTTAGCTCAGAAGATATGCCAACTGGACACGCTTTCATAATACTAAAATATTATTCGCTGCCAAAAGAATAAACCCCACTTCATCGGCCATTCAACAAGACGTCATACCTCCCGACACATATATAAGGGACAGGATTGCTTCAGCAAAAGCATCCGACGAAGTTAACAACAGCACAACATTTCATTCAAAGAAATTAAAGAACGTCAAGAGGAAGAAAAGCACAAAATTTAAATTAACGTGAAATGCAACGGATGCTGAATATATATATATAATTTTAAAAAGTCTCTGTTTCTTTGCGAATTTTTCCCACTGTAAAACGCATAATCCTCGTGTGATTTACAGTCCTTTTCGCAAGTAAAGTCAACTGCGAAGACCGACGTTTGGAACTAAATTAGTAAATTACAGAAATAATACACGTCCAAATCCCAAGCGAAAATGCACATACAGTATTCCCGTCTGAGAAAACATTGAACAACAGGCAACCCACAGGATTTAAAGAAGAACTTTGACTTATCAAATATTCAACGAAATGCTCCCCGACGCGAAGAAACTGAAACGGGAGCTCCGTCACTAAAATGCCATTCGCTTTCAAGACACGCCATCGCAACGTTCTTACCTGGAGTAGAACCAGTAAAACCCCTCACGTGTTTTCGCAGAAAATGCTCTTTTGCAAAAAGTTAACTTCATGATCTCGTAGAAAACGTTACACCATACACCAAAACTAATAAAATTCGGAGTCGTCTCATGAAAATGCGACCATGATATGCTGAACAATGACGTTACTCAATATTCTTATACGATGAATGATCACCGAAAATCTTTTCACTTCTCCTTCTTCCATTCTGCAGATTTTTTCTTTCTCCCTTGAACAAGGACTTCTATTCGGCCCAAAAATAAAAAAATCATCAACCGAAGTACAAAAACAAAACAAAAACTGAGCACAACTGGCCGAAGCTTTTTTTTTTTGAATATGCATGATAGGAAATCTCGCATCGGCTCCTTTCATCGCGGTAAAAAGAAAGAACCTCGCCCAGAATATCAACCAACAATCCACCGGAACAGGTCTGAAAAAGCAGATTTTGTCATACCCTCCATCTATATTTGCAGACGTTCTTCGGAACCTGCATAAATGCGGAATATCCCAAGTTTTCCCAAGACAAAACCCGAATTTAGCCATCGCATCACCGACGCAAAGAAAGCAAGCAAGCAAGCAAGCGTGGAACTCATGCCGATGCAGATGAGGTTTGCATAATAGACTCCATATGCAGCGAGGAGCGTCTCGGATAAACTGAGCTTGTTCCTCGTTTGCCGGATAAATAGGAAAACGAAATAAAATATAAAAAAAATCCTAGACCAACATCCCAACGCGTATATTATTTTACAACGACGGGGATTTTCACGCTGAGCTGAGAGCATCCTCCTTATTGTAAGGTGATTTTATCGCAATTTTTGAGGGCTTCTTCGATGGTACTCAGGTTTTAGAGATCTGAAGTAAAATGGAAATAGTTTTTAAGTAATCGTGAAGGACACGGAGGGATCTTCATGATGGCAACTTCAGCCAAGTGTAGAAATAACACGTTATTCTAAACGTGTACTCCAACATTTTCAAACGCTCTACTAAGCGTCGAAGAGTCATTCTTGAAATTTGCAATTGAGAAATACACGTATTTTACATCATACCTTAGATAGACGGCCGAAAAATTCCGCAAGTAAAGCAAGCACATCTTCATTCTCAAACTTATCAACAGACATTGCTTAGACAATTGAAAAAAATATTCCTATCAAATCAGCGAAGTTTTCCAGTCGAATGACACGTGAGTGAATATCGCGAGGCTTCTTCGCTCGAATCATTATTTTTTTTATCCTATCTACGATGAAACGCATATAATCCAAATCAGTCAATAGTGCAAAGAAACCGAGTATGCATTTGCGTCTCTTGCCCACCAAGCGTCGGAAAAACGTAGAAAAATGTTACATTTCTTTGATCTACCCTTGCATCCTAATCCAGAAATAGACACCCACTGGTTCACGAAACGGGAGCTACAACGACGCAGTAGAATAACCCCGCCTGAATCCGATAAAAACATGAAGAACGTGAGCATCCATCTTCAGTAGTTGTATTATTCAAAACCTGCCACCTAGAAATATACACATCATGAACGCTAGTCATTACTAAATTGCATGTTCGCAAGAAACACACTTCCCACAATAACCACATATGGGGTAAATATGATGACAATGGTAATCCAAAAGATATTACACACTAGCAATTTCGACTAACCTCAAATGTTGCAACGCTTCCAAGAGGTCGTTTTAACCCTTTAGACAAAGTCAGTCAATCTAAAGATGCATATCAAAAGATTGATCTGCATTTTACCACGTTTTTATGAACTCACTTTCTTGTCTGTCTGTCTGTCTGTCTGTTTGTCCGGATCAAATTTTGAAACTCAAATTTCACTCACTTCCCGACTAGCCATCAAGCTGAAACTTTCAGGATAGCTTAGAAACTGATGACAATGCAATCTTTTGTGAAAAAATTAATTTTAAGAATATTTTTTAAAAAGAATAAAATGATTATAGTAGATTTCTATAATAAAACTTTGAGCAGGTTTTCCTTGGCCCCAAGAAAAAAACCCATGGTGAACTGAATTGGTCGCAGAGGTCCGAGTTCAATCCCACCCCCTGGAACATTTTTTTTCTGATTAATTATTAACTCACTTTCTTGTCTGTTTGTTTGTCCGGATCAAATTTTGAAACTCAAATTTCACTCACTTCCCGACTAGCTATCAAGCTGAAACTTTCAGGATAGCCTAGAAACTGATGACAATGCAATCTTTTGTGAAAAAATAAATTTTAAGAATATTTTTTAAAAAGAATAAAATAATTATAGTAGATTAAAAAATTAATCTAAAAAACCACGTTTTTAAAAAGCAAAAAATAACCTTAAACGTGGTGCGCATGGAGATTGTTGGGAAGAAGTGAAATACAAATGAAATAGATGCGCACCAGGTTTAAGGTTATTTTTTGCTTTTTGAAAACGTGGTTTCTTAGATTAATTTTTTAATCTACTAAATTTTTTTTCCATGGTAATATCGTGATATTTCAGAAAGTTTTGGGCACATAAATATCGAATTTCAGCTAAACGAATTCTTTGCTTCATTATCCAGAAAACCGTAAGATTTTCGGGTCTGAGAGAGGAAACGGTTACACATTTTCCGGACCACAACTCCTAGCTCATGCCTGAGAAATTGGAGGAAATTCGGGGTAACCCCAAGACAAAGGTTACGGTCTCTATAAAGGTATATTTTTGGATCAGTAGCGAATGAATCAAAAGGGATTTGTCATGATAATTACAAATAAATTTACGTTTCCTTTCCCAAGCGCCGAAATTAGCTATCCTTAATTAGAAATTTCCTCTTCATTTACATGCTTCACCTATCCGTGAAACCAATTTTCAAATCACAACTCCTGCTGATAATATTGTTTCCCGATATTCACGACAGGTACAGTACTTCTGCGGCACTGGAAAGAAGGAGAATCAATTGAACTTTTCCCGCTACCAAACTGCATTTTTTTAAAAGGCAAATTTTAAAAGTTGAAAAAAAGGGGAACAAAGAGAACGCGAAGTGAGTTACGCAGCGTCTCCCGGGAGATTCGCAACGAGAAATATGCCATGCGAGGAAAACAGGAGCGTAAACAAAGCCCCGCATCCCGCAAATGATAAATGATTTAAAAGCGGAGCCAGATTTTCCTCAACCTGCTCCGACCGCAGCGCAGTTTTCAGAAATAGTTGAAAAGCGCCACAGCGGTTTTCCTCCTGACGTCAATACGCCGTTGGAAAGACGCAGATGCGAGGGAAAAGTAAACCTCGGGGGTTTACCGCACTGGACCCCCAGTCTGTAATCCCGAAGCATGCCTTCCACCGAGTTTTTGCGCCTGATCCCAAAACACGCGACCTTTCCGCGAGACAAGTTGATTAGGCGGGGCAAGGAAAATGGCACTTCAGGCCAGAAATCATTTCACGCTCAACCTTTTCGCCCGACTATGCAAATTCTGACTTCAACTCCTTGTTAATACAGTAGTTGTTTCCGCCTTCGAAAGGAACTTTTCTCGGCGGAAAGATTTTTTCGCCTTCGGTGCATTAAAATTTAAATACGATTTTTCAGCCGTGATAGAGGATTATAACGCTGATTCACCAAACTACATTTACTCAAATGAAAAGCCATGTACACATTTTTTAAAACAAAAGAATTGGTCCAAATAAGCGCCATGCAACGATGAAATTACCGATTAGGTGGTAGAAGAACAGCGGTCTTAACTTCAGATCAGACCAACATTACTTTCTCACTTAGCTCCTTCTGTCACGGAATTTAATTTTCACTTCAATCAAGTTGTCATCATCCGCATCGTATAATTCATCAGCCGAATAACTCAAGTCAACAATAACTTTCCTAATTCACACGAAAATCCCAATATTACATCGACGTTCATAATTGCCATGAGATCCTGGAGACACGGAGAATTCATCTGCAAGCGTCAACACAGCAGAACTCCGAATACACAAATTAATAACAATGGGGACTGCTGTCTCGAAAAAAAAAATAAAAAAAAACCGCTGATCAGCCGTCTACAATTCATGGTCAGTATTGACAAAATCCCGGAGATTAAAAAATCTGGAAATTACATCAGTCCTGATGAAGATCGCAGGAGAGAAATAAAACCGGCTCTTTTCTTTCCTCTCCATGAATCGATTCCCGAGGAAGATTACTCGACTTTCCGATTATTTCCATTCCCACCGGTATTTGGAATACAGAAAACCTCATGTTTTATCGCAATACACGTCAAATTCTTAAGGATTGGGGTGTGGTTTTCATTCTTGAGGTGTCATTAGAAACATTGTCATAATCTCAACAACTCACTGAAGAAAGTATCACTCGCTGGCACAAAAGTAATTCCACTGCTTTTAGGCACCACAACATCAAAAGAACCCCACCCGCGGAAATCGTAAACGGAAAAAATGCAGAACACTTCACGCAAGCATATTCCGCAAGGATCCAACGAGATAGATCGGGAAGAAGATGTAGACCGAGGATCAGCCACACTTCCTCATGCAAACACGATCTTCCCGCATTGATTCCATGTCATCCCATGCGACACGGACGAGCCAAGCACTTGAAAGACCCGCCTCGACGATCACAAACTTTTTCTTTTTACCCCCGGCTTCAACACAAAAGAAAAAATGCTTTAATGAAAGAACCTAAATTTCCTTTTTCCATGTTGTTGTTCTGCGCAAAAAATTAAGATTCAGTAAGGCTCCTGACGCATTCCTCCAGACATGAAAAGAACAAATCAAGATGAAACACACGCGTGCTACTTCATATCTGACTACGACACATCGCACGCATCCAAAGAGAAAGTTTCACCTGAGAGATCATTTAATAATGGGGATGAATGATGCACAAACGTTCAACAACAGCAAGATTTCTCATCACACCCGGAGAAGATGGACGAAGCGGCGAAAACTTTTAATTAGAATAATCACGCCATTCTAGAACTCACACAGCCTACGTCATATATAAGATTCGTCACGGGGTAGTTTATTATGATGAATGATTACGCAAGAGTCCTCCAGGGAAAGACGCGAGATGGGAAAACTTGGATCATCTCAACTTCGTTAATTCCGTCCGTCGTGAATAGATTATAACTTTGCAGTGATTGCGACGCACTCGAATGCATTTTTTTGAATCTCAAATCACATAATTCCAAGTACACGACTAGTTCGTTACAATCCAAGCGCCGAATTTTTGTTTTGTATTACGTATTCTTTGTTTGAGGATTTCAACGTCGTCTGGGATCGGTTTTCATCGGATTGTTCACCGGAAAACCAGCTAAGCTCCACGAAAACCAAGTAGAAACCACCCAGCGCGGAGGAATCGAGAAAACCTCAGGACTGTATCGAATAACAACTCCAGGGGTACATAAGGAACGACGACATTTCCCAGCTCGAACATTCGAGAAAATGCTCAGTGACGCACTAAATCGAGAGATGACTCGTGTTGTCTAACATTTTCAAAGTGAAGTTCTTGTTCTGTTCGCGAAGAATTCTGGAGAGGGCCAAAAAAAGTGCGACGTTTTGACAACAAAAGCCACGCGTTATGCCATCAAACTCATCTCACGGCAAAACATCTTCTCGCGAATGGGGGAAAACAGAAAGAGAAGAACGAGAGTGAATAAGGTAAAGGTTGCAACGTTTAATTTGGAAGAAATCAAATGCTATGGTAAGTCGATTTTCTAGATGTATGGAATGGAAATTTTTAACCCGCGCTCCTCGAAGCTAAAGTCTCCGAAATGTTTCCAGGCTCCGCAACAACTTTTAAAAATTAAACAAAAACGAATACTAAATTTTTAAAGCGTGATGAAGGAGCAGTTTCTTCAAAAGGTAGGGTAGAGAAGAAACTACTACAGTACGCTTGTGTTACCTCTATACCTCCGGATTAAGCTTTTAAAACTGTAAAAGGCCTGGCTTTTTATCAAAAGATCCTTTTGCCACATGTCACGTCATGTCATAATCTTCTAGAGACGAAGCGTTAAAGCCCGAGGCGCAAAGAAACTTCGAGCAAGAATTTCAGAAATCCTGGCTTTGAGTCGAGATTTACAAATTGACACTTGACATTTTAGGTCCGAAGCTTCCAATAGCGTCTCAAGCACTATCCCATTAGAAATCACGGCTTCATGAGACTTCACGATCCTTTTTAACCTCACTTTCTTAGACTTCGGTAGCTCGCTGATAATGACTCAAATTATTCGAATTCTGTCTCGACATTTTCGCGGAGTACAACAAGTGAATGCTTTTTCTTCCGTTAATTTTTTTCTATTTTCAACAGATTTCATCAATCGCTAGACAGCAATGTTTCAAACAAATCAAGCAAGGATCGAGTGCTGGAATCGTGGCTGCGATCACGACACGTGGCGCTACGGGCGGAAGATTGCCATGAGCGCCACTTGTCGGGGTGTTAGCCCATTCCACGAAACGACGGCGAAATCCCGTCATCGACGGGATCCCCTTGGCGGGTTCGCCATTAACCCAAACTGGGTAACAATAGGGAACCTCGGATTGTTGACATGGCATCGAGCCGAACAAAACCATGGGAAGAATGAATGAATTGTCGACAAGTGATACGAGCATTTGAGTTGAATTGCATTGTGCTGACTGGAAATGAAACGAATTCAATATATAATAAACCCTTGAAAAGCTTACTATTGCAATTACTTCCATACTAAGATAAATTCAAAAGATAAAAGCACTTGGTCGTGGTTCAAACTCTAAATTACTCTGGAGTCGCAAAGCGAATAAATTCTTCCAGGATTTCAGTGAACTGTCAGAAGTTATTACTAAAAAGTTGAACTACTTTGCATTTCACATTCCAACAAACATTCTCGCACCGAAAAAAAGAACACAGATATCATTCCAAAATCTAGTATTGAGAAATTAATGACAACTATAAACTGACATACAAGTATTTTCATATGCTATTTATATCTGGTACTGTACTCGTACTTTCCCAAATTTTGAAGTACACTGAGAAAATGAACCTATAAGCCATTACAATACAGTACCGAATATAAAAAAAAATAATGCTAATCTCAGGATTAAAAAAACATTTCCCAAAATCATATCCACGCTCTTGAAAGAAAAAGTAAGCACTACTAAAAAGGTGCTTCGCGATCATGAGTAAATATCAAGAAAATCGTCGAGAAATTCGAGCACATCCCAAATCGCCTAGAAGGTATACTTTTCTGGGTGTTCCAAACATTTCAGAAGATGAAACCTAGAGACTATCCGCGTAAGGAAGACGCAAAAAACCAAGAAACTCAGTAGAAAAGGTGTCGTTCCCACGGGCCATCGCCAATACCTCTTCGCATTCAAGGTAGATTTTGAACTTGACGAGTACACAAGTGAAAAAATACACATTTTCGCATGTACAGTACATTGAAAATGTCGACTGAAATATCAACTAACGATCCTGAAAAAAAAGGTCCGCGAATCATTAAATGGTAGAGGAATCATGTCACTCTTCGGATGGGCATATATAAAGCGGTCAATAAAATCAAACAAAAGACAACCAACATCGGCTCAACAAATGGGCAATTTGGAAGAAAAAAATAGCTCGAAAAAAAAAATCGACCTACACGCCCACGCTACCAACACAGATTTCTTGACCTTGGGAAAGGAAGTTCGCACCTCCCGCGTCGCATTTTCTTTCAGCACACAACTGGAAGCAACCGTTCCGAGAACGCTGCGGAAACCGGAAACGCATATCCCAAGGTACTTTTCCACCCACCATTGAATCTCTGTTGGTAAGCCATGCGTTCCTTTGATTCGGTACATTTTCGAAAACAAGAGCTTCCGGTTCGAAAAGGTCATGCCCGAATCGCTTCGAATCTGTAGCGAAAGGGAAACAAACTGAAGTACTGCGTATCGATAGGACCAACGAGGACCAAGACACAAGATTCCTCTCCGATGTCAGACGTAAAACTATTTCTGCACAATATCGGCAGAACTCAGGCTCCGACACACGAAGAATATGATACTAAACCCAGAAAATGTATGAAAAAGTAGGGCGTTTAAATTTGTACTCTAATTCTTTAAAGGTTCTCGAGCTATTATTACTATTTTTCCAGCTCAGAATTTGAACTCGAGGCCTAAATTCTTTAAAAAGCCTTGGGGGGCATTTACACTGAAATCTGAACTTTCATAGTTTTGAGTTGAAAAAAAGTGTGTGTCTTAAACTCGATGGGATCTTACGTTCGCACACAAAATTCTACAAAAGTTTATGAAGTGGTTGTACATGGTTTGCGCTCAAATGATCTAACCCTCGTTGGCTCATTATGGATATTTCTACCATTGACATCAAGTGCAGACTGGAGAGCACAATACAAACGCATATACGCATAGAAAAATAAAATAAAAACGAAATCCGGAGAAAACATGAAGTAAATTTCATTTCAGTGGATTATCTTACATAAGACATATTTTTTAAAGGAATAGCTCTGTGAAGATACCTTCTACTGGGCGGATAATTAACGAATTCAACTGTACTGCAGTTTATCGTAGGAACGCGTAATTTTTTATTTGTCACATTTATGATTTCACCATGTACAATGGAGTTTTCGGTAAATGTCAAGCACGAGAAAACTCTTCAAGATTGAGGCGTCGAAAAAATCACGTGCGTAAAAAACAAGAATCAATACAATTCTATGCTCGGGTAAATACGATTCAGCAGAGATTCTCGACCTTCTCGACTCGAAGAGCCCTTGATACAAATACATTATTTTCATTTTCGAAGAAAAGACATGAGAGTCAAAACCAATTTTCGGGGGAGGGGTATGTAGAGAATTTTGGCATCACTCTTCTCTCTTTTTTTTCCCTGGTTTGGCTGGGTAGTTCTTACGAAGGCACCAAACGGTGAGAACACCGAAGCCTCAGAGCACCGATCGGAAACCCTCAGCGCATATTGTCATTTTTTTTTTTTTTCAAGAAAGCCAACAGGGAGGTACGTATCCGTATCCGTGACAGGCTGAAGCTAAAACCGGGCTGGAAAACCCGGAAACGATGGATCCGACGAACCCGGCTCGACCGTCCCCAGAAACCCATCACACGGCCGAGTTCGATTACCCCTCCCTCCCGGTATCGAGTCTGGCCCCATCAGCGGGGGTAACGGGAGCGCACGCCGATAAGGATCCCGTCGGAGCGAAACCCCTGGCTTCGACACGCGTGGGCGGTGAGTTAAAACGACGATTCTCCAGGTGCTCGAACTTGAGGAAATGTCATAGGGTCGAGCGGAATCTCGGCAGACCGTCAAGATTTCGGCAGACCGTCAAGATTCCCCTCCACCCACGAAAAGCCCACACCGGGCGTTATCAGCGAATTTTGAGTCAGCCGCGCGGTTTACGCCACAACGCCCTCATTTTTATTTTTCCAGGAAGTCATACCGGGGGCTAGGGCTTAATCGAGACCAAGTTTTGTACCACAACATTGCATATCGTTCAAGACTTATTTCACGGCCAGTGGCTTTTTTTTTCTGCTGTTGTGTTTACAAGATAGGCTTAGATTTAATTTTCTTTCTTACAATATTCAACCGCAAGGAATAAAAAATCGGGCGGGAGAGGGAAATTTTAGTGGAATAGCGAGAGCGCTTTATAACGGAAAACCATAAATCTTACGACGCCAACTTCAGACCGAAATATATGAGTATTTATTGCTTTTACTTTCAATGGCTATAGAAATATTAGTCTTAATATCTGTTGCGCTACATTCTAATGGTCCAATTCATTCAAATGGTCCAAAATTCAAAGCGTAGTTTATCTATGCAGTAAAACCTTCATCACCATATTCACCCATCTATAAAATCCATCCATTTTAATTCCGGAGCCACGAGAATGAACATAATTTTGCGCGCAAATATATAACGTCTCGGCATTTACATCACTGCCAGAAGAGAATCATGGATATAACTGCGAATGAATACTTGATCGTATAAACGACGCACCCTGTTTGTTTCAATCGAAATATCGGCGAATAAGTTAATTTCATGCTTGAATAAATAAACCATTCAGGCTACTGAATTTTAAAGATAATTATAAGAATCATATTTTTAAAAATACCCGATTTCAGACTTCATCGGTTGAAATAAAAAAATCTAATCTCTCGTCACCTTCCATTAATGAAGGAAAATCTTGGAAATTCGAGATCATATGATAAACACAAAGCTGAAAAAATAATCAGGATAAATAGTAGCATGAAAAGGTAATCGGCAACCCAAGCTGCAGAGTAATTCGATTATACAGTACTGTACTTGATTTTATGGAACAAAGACACCCATAATCAAGACCCAAATAACAAATAACATAATGTATTCAATTCGACGAATTCTTGAGACTGGAATTTTTCGGAATGTTATACTGTACTGTATTACAAGCGATGTCTGGAAATTATTGCAGGGTTTATCGTATCACACAGATACTCGTATTTTCTGAATAAAACTATGAAGACTCGATTAAGAATAGATGGCAGCAATTCGATCATTCGTATCAAACGCGTAAGTATGAATGAGCAGAAATGTGAAGTTGATCGTCAGGCTGAGCGCTTGAACCAAAAAATTCCAAGGTCTGGTAAATCTGACGTAATTCGTTCCACGATGTGAGTGAATGGGGGAGGAAAAAAAAAAAGATTCGAAACGGTCGATGGAACGTGTATGTGCGTTGGGACGATATTTTATTAAAGCACAAAGTTTCATGGGCACAAGGAAGAACTATTTTCGAAGGTTTTCGGAGAATCGCGTTTTTCCTTGCGTGGGTGCAGCAGGGAACACGGAACTCTCTCACTCACCAGTTGATACGTTGTCAGCCCGATCACTTCCATCCGACCGTCGTCAGTTTGCTGCTTCCCGCATGCGTTGTTCCACGGCCTCGTTCCACCGCCGTAACTGAGTAAACAGATGAAGAAAAATTTCAATGAAAACAACGTGTATTTGATCATGAATTAAAGTTCAAAAAAGTAGACATGGCTCAATTCAGCGCCAACCCCACCACGGCTGAACGTTATTCCCCGAACAATTACGGTCAGCAGTAGAACCATTTTTGCGAGAAAAAAAAAAAAAAAATCGAACGGCCTCTCACAGCTAATTCACGTTTAAATTAATTTCTGACAAAATAAAGTACAGTAGAATCTTTTAAAACAAAATTTTGAGGACTTCAAAAAAGTTTTTTATGCTCTGGATACTTATAATTTGTTATAATGACATTTTCAAAAATTTCTACATACAGTATTTTCACAGGACTCGAAATGTTTTCACATCAGCTCTGCCTATCATCAATCGGATCTTACTTTCCTAGAATTATCAGAATTTTTTATTCTTAAAAAAAAACTGACTGATTTTCTGAATTTTTCTTAGCTTGAATCATGCATTTCGGTTTCACCAATCTCTTCATTCTGAAAGCATAATTGTCATTAATTACAGCTTCCATCCATGCTACAAGAACCAGTGTCAGTCACATTTCGGATCTTAAATTTCAGAATTTGCGTGCCTTAGTCAGGACATTTCTACGTGGAGAATCTATCAAACATTCCTCCGAAAGTGTTTTATACTGGAATTAGGAAGTTTCTTATCATGATACTGTATATTGTTTTGACATGTACTCCATGGGTCTTGTGCGAGGACTTGAGAAACAGTTCATTGTAATGAAACATTGTTTGTGATGGAGAGATTTTACTGCATACGTTTTTATTTTTCGACGATGCAAAAAATTGTTGCAGAAATCAATACTTCAATCATAAAAGGGAACAATGAAAAAACCAAATCAACCGATTTTTCCTGTCCTATGTCGCACTTTTCTTCGACATTATACTGTATTTCAAATGTCAGAAAACGACTGAACGCAAAAAGGAAATCTGTTTTAATGGTAACATATTTTATACGGCTTGCAGTCGAGGTTATGCAAAAAAGTAGCTTAGTATTTAATAATTCAATCGTCTAATTCGGGGAACTTAAAAAACGAGTATTTAAAACCGAGTCCCATTTTTCATGCCGGATCACTTCTTATTCGTCATCATATTAAAATAACAGAACCCCAGGAAACAAAAACATCGAATGTTCTGCAATGCAAATATTCCTCAATAATCCAGAAGACATTATGAAGAAATACACCGCTCTGATCTTACCTTGGATATTGAACTAAAGCAAGACAGTTTAAAAATTGAGAACAAAAAGACCACCGAAGAGTGGCCATTTTCATACGACATTGTTCAGAATAAATTAACGTAATGATGAAACAGCAGCTTTTTCTCACAGACTAATGAACCCCTTCGGGAATACAAAAACACAATTCGTAATGAATGCACCCGCACGACTCTTCAAAGGATAACGGAGGTAATAAGGGTACCCAGCAACAGACGCAAAAATAGCCCACTGACAACGAGAAGAGCACGACCTAAAATAAACGCTGGAGAGGCGCATCACAAAAGTATGTTTACGATCATTCGTACAGCATACACTCGCAGAACTCAAAACATTTATTAGAATTTTAAAGGGAGAAGACAGCACGAGGACGTTCTATTTCTACTGAAAGCAACTGCGCATAAATTCACAAACTTCCCGACTTGAGCTGACATTTTGAGTCACACGTGACATTCTGAAGCTCTCACAAGCCAGACAATAAAAAGGTCTTCAAAATTGAGGTCGCCTTCAAATATCCACCTGAAATACCCAGAGACCCTTTCCAGAAAGATTATCGAATCTTCCCTCGATTTCTTGCATTCCTTGATTGATACAAAAGTTTTACGCTCCAAATTTCAGCATTCACATGGTTGAAAAAATGTTTCCCACATTACAACAAATGCATGCGTTGCCATCCTTTTTCGAGACCAACAATAATAAAATAAAACAAAATCGTATGCATTGAATATGCATTTCTGAGAAAGTAATTTGCGATCGAACTGCGTCGTCAGTAAAAATCGAGCGTATATAAAGTTATGTCCGATGCGCAGTACATATTTTGGTTAATACTGCACGACGATTATAATATTATTTCACGAAATATATTCGAGAGTCCTTCATTCGCTTCGCAGGTATAAAGACATTTTTTGAGAGAGAGGAAGTTATTCATTAGGAGGTATTTCATGCGAAAACAACTTTTTAAAAAGTGAGTAGCACGACGGGTAGTTGAGTGGCACTCATTCGAAAGAATCACTCGGGAATGATAATACGGAACAAATACGAAGACGGTTTGATTTGAGCACGAAGAAACTGAAGGAATCTCACTAAGAACAGACAGAGCAATCAGCGCACAATCATACATCAGGACGATTACTTAGAAGAAAAAAAAAAAAAAGACGATACCCGCACGATATCCAGGAGATGAAGTCTTCCCCCTTTTATAACTTTCAAGACATGTTCAAAACTCTGTAGAAATACTTTCTAGAGATCGATGTTGCACACGACTTGCTTCGCTGCCTGTCCTTTGATCAGTGTTTCGGACAGCACGGAACAGAAGCAGAAGATATAGCTAGGGTGCGTCGATAGAAGCACGTAAGTCGTTCATTCGCTATCATAAACCGATTACGCGCAGCCTTCTCTGAACATCCACATTCTATAGGGTATCATACGAAACACAGAACCATGCTTGATCGGCGAAAAGCTTCAGAGGCTATCAGCAGAATAATAACCTACGGGGACAAGATCATCCCCGACGGCTCATAGTCGACAGATTCCTTCTCCGGTAATCCTGAAGCGAGCAAGTCCATCACGACAGATCTATTCTCAACAGCTTATAAGTGTTCCACCAATGAATCCGAATATACCGGTACATATTCATTGAAAAAGCTTTGCGAATTCACGAGCCGATAGGCCGCAACCGGATTTTGAGCAGCAATTTCCGAGGAAAAAGCTACGGTATACAGTACGTGTATAGCACAACACATTTTGAGAATTTTCAGGGAAAATGCGGCCTCTAATACGCTAACAAGCATGCGAAACTTTTCCAGAAAAAAAAACATCCATAATACAGTGAAGAGGATTCTCAGTCATCGATAATTTTTAAAAATTGATCTATTCCTAACTTTTGGATATGATGCTTTTGAATTCATGATACGCTCAACGTTAATTCTTGTTCTGGAAATAAAAAATTGAAGCTTTTCTCTCGTGTTTTCCCTGAAATAATCCTTCAAGTAAGCTAAGTAGGCTTCAAAGGCTATGAACATTAAGATAGGATCAACGATGTAGATTTTTCGCGAAAGACTTCAAAATGTTCATTACACGTTACATTCCGACGGGAAACTTATCTAATTATCTGAAACTGTGAGGAAATCGCTATCTTTTCTGCGCAAGACTATAATCATCAAATCGCAAATAACCTCATACTTTATAGCCCCAATCGACAAGCATTCATGATTTCCAGAAAAAAATAAAATCATTCATAGTGGTTATTATTGATAATCATTAATAATTTACACATGTAACACATTGCTGTGTTACATGCTTTTAGTCATGATGTCTTTCGATTCACAGTATGCTCAACGTTAGTTCTTGTTTTGAAAATACTGTACGAGTTGAAGCAGCTTCGGGTTTTCTCCCGTTTTTCTCCGATATTATCCTTTCTTTCGGATCTAGAATATTTTTCAAAGGTTATGAGCATCAAGATTGGATAAAAAAAGTAGATTTTGTGTGAAAACTTCGAAATTGTCATTACAGGCTACACTCCCCTGAAAAACTCATTCTATTACAGTACCGTACACTGCATTTGAAACTGAACGGTAATCGCATCTTTCCTGCTCGCAACTACAATCATTAAATCGCGAATAATATCATAGTCCCAATTCAGTCGAGAGCTTTATAAAAAAAAAGGTACAGTACCTCCACATGGACAACGACCTACTGGGAAGCAGACAATGAAATAAAATTCCAGTATCATGGACAAAAGTCAACTTTACGATCGAAAGGAATTTCCCATCATATACAACATCAGAACGGCAACACTTTCCCCGGCTTCCATGAGAAATTCATTGACGAATCGCCCGGTCGTAAGTCGTAACGCGAGGGATATTTTTGAACGAACTTCGTACCAGTGGAATTGGGAATGGCTGCTCGCGAAACGGCGAAAACAATCCCGGGCAGGACCCCTCCATTCAAACTCAACGGACTCATACCTAGAACGATCACGGTAACCCGAGGAAAACCCAGCTGAGGCCAGGGACCCAATCTTGGCATCAATTTTAGAGCACCATTTCCCTCGGGAGTGCGTCGGGGGGAAGGAGAGGAGAGGAAAGGGAAACAGCGGGTGTGGGAATAAAACGTAACCTCGGCCCGCGCGGACCCGGGTGATAAGACGCCCCGCATCACACCTGTCATCAAGTCTCCTCCTTGCCGAATGCTGGGCCAGAGTTTGGTCGATATAGGAGCCGTTCGTACGCAAGCAACTGCGCAGAAAAGATGCTTGCTCCCATCATTGGTCCCCCCTTTTGCCCCCAATAAATTATTCGCCCCGAAATCGAGACTCGGATCGTTCACGGACAAGCCGTGGAAAAGGGAGTAAGGTCAATCCGAGTGTCCAGCTGGGTTTCAGAAAGCATATCATGGAAATCGATGGATCGCCCTTTTTCTCAGAAGATTTTAGGTGAATTCCGCGTTTCATTCGACGAATTTAGACGTGAAACATTCCCCAGTACAGCAATTCCGAAAAAAAAAAATAAAGCTCATACGTCTCCAGCTTTACGAGAGATCAACGAGCGCCCAATTTTTAGGATGTAAAAAGTGACTCACACAGGAAAACTGCTTTCCTTAACGAATTTATTTTTAATTCAGAAAAGGCTTTAAATTCTAGCTAGCGTTGAGCTAATACAGCAGAATACTAAATTTTGCGAACAATCGAGAAAAATGAAACGCGAAAATTATAGATTTGCCCCTCCGTTTCTTTGAAATTTGAGAATTTCAAAATATTAGTAGCCAAACTTGGCATTATTATTTCAATGTTACACCAATAAACTTTGAAGTTTATCTTGAAAACTCACAAAAACACCCAGCTTTCACGGTTTTTGTAATATTTTCGAGAGTAACGGATTAAATATTCATACTTTTAATTTTAACCGAAGGGAAGTCATGCTTCACAACAACAACAAATTGCACAACATAACGCATCAAGGAATGGATTAGTTTCATCATACGGGGCCCCGCTTTACGGCACATTTCAAACTACAGTACAGCATTTAACGGATTCCTAAAAAAAAGAAGGCACAAGACATGAATGAGCCAGAGCAATTACTGTACTTCGTCAACTCCGATGAGAAGCGAAACGTCGTCAACGCTAATACGCTAATATACGAGGGACGGCTGAGAAATTGTTTCAGTGAATCACTGTTCCATGAAATGACGTTATTCATACCTGAGTTTCCGAGTTGAAAAATTCAAAATCACTGCGAGATCCAGGAAAAGAAAATTCTCTATTTGACCGCTAAACTGTCTTGAAACAAAGTAGTGACATTGGCAATTTATTGCTCAAAACAGCAAGTTCAAGACAACTTGACCAATACACGAGTAACCATAACCAACGTAAACGTTCCAAAATCCGAACAATTTTCTCTTTCATCACAGCATTGTTTGTCAGGAATATGACATTTGCCAATACCTGTATTAATAATTTTACATCACTGTGACTGTGAAATAACTTTGACTCACAGCAAACTAATAGAGCAAGCGTGTATAATAGCGTCTAAATCTCTGCCTCCCTTTCATTTCCGACTGACTGCGAACAAATTTGAACAATGATCGCGACGAAACGCTGAAATTTCAAATGCGAAATTTCGCGAAATGCTAAAAGCAAAACAATTTTTCCATCACCTTTCGTCCAGGACAACAACGAAGTTATATCACAACATTGCTAAAACTTATGAAGCAGCCCCCGTACATGTCATTACTCATTACGTGTATCAAAGGCAGCATACGTTTGACCTAATGCATCAAGATTGTTGTTGTTCAACGCCATAGGTATCTACTCGATGGATTCTATATCATCCATGTTGAAATCATCCCTTCAACGGGTAATTGAATTCAATCTTGACCGCCTACCAGAACGCATCCAAATCAGATGATGGAGAATCTCTCAGAAATACCGTCACGGCATCCTACACATTTAAGCCTCAAATTTATCCGCCCAGCACATAAAATAACCCACTGATGCAATTACATTTTGTAATGCAAATTTTATACCAAAATAGCCTACGCGTCCATCCCACAAATTAAACACAGAAAGAGGCCCTGGCCTCAAACAAATATTTTACGGCTCACTCTTGTTTTGAAAGAGCCCATATTATTTTCAACCAAGAGCCAACTGGATCAATTCACCGGACCCAGAATACAGCTGAAAACACAGCCGAAAATATTTTCCAGGTATCATATTTTGTAGAAAACATCAATAAAGAAGATCATACAATTCCGCAAATATTTTTTAAAGATGCTGAACTCGCATACCAAAATGCGAAAAACACCTTCACCAACTAAATGTATCAGAACTGCGGATCATTGGAATTCTAGGTTAATAAAGAACTTAGCAACTAATTATCTTTTTTTGTTGTCCTTTGACCCATTGTTTATTCCAGACAGGGAAAAGCATTCAAAATTCTTGCCAACGACAATGTTCCTTTGCCCAATATCGCCTACCGAAAAAGTTACACAATGCTTACAGCGCAATCATCGGAATATAATCGAACAATTTTTTAATCCTGAAGATTGGTCAAAATCAGCGGACGGAAGGAATGGATGATTTATTGGAAAAGGGGAGCACGGCATCCGGCGATTGAATATATAATTACTTTATACTGATCTGCTAAGCCCTCAAATCAATTGTAGGACATGCTCGTAAATTAAGTTGAAGCCCTGAAGCCACAGAAGGGAACCGAACAAATGGAACTTGGCCAGGGAGTAAGTCTAGGAGGCGGTACTTCAAAACCTTCCCACTTACCAAAAAAAAAAACTACTTACAAGTCTGTTGAAAATCCATGCTCAGTGCAAAGGTCGGTCGCCGACTACAGTTAGATCAAATTACGAAGAAACTATGACAACGTTTGCCGGTACTCATTCGGATGAATCCGTCGGAATTTGCACACGAAGAAGGACGACAATCATTTTTACCAGGTCCCCTCCCCCCCCAGGATGCACCACGTGCGTCACAAGCTTAACCTGGGGGTCACGGAAGCATGGAGGGTTTCCTCGAAGGAAATGATCGCTAATCTCGCGAACCAAACCTGCGAATCCCCGCTGCGTTCCGCATCAACGCTCGACAACACGAGGCACGCGAAAAAGCGACCAGTAGAATAGATGAAAAAAAAAAACGAAGATATGTTTTGTTTCCCGTTTCCCATACAAATTTTTCTCATAGGGCAAGATAATTGCAACGGGGAATGGATCTTGATGGCATGCTATCTGATCAGCCTGCTTGTTCCTACCGGCGTAAGCCTTTTCACTTCCAGGCAGCACACGGAAGGAGGTATTGAACCTCAATGTACCCACTCCTCTTCGCGCAACAAAGCCGGCACGATTATTTCCGTGCAAGAAAACAACCCCGACACGATTACCCCACCCAGGAGCACTTCGTAGAGAAACTCACTACATTTTTGCAAATAAAATAGGAATGATCATTAGTATATGTTGTTTAAATTGAAAGAATGGATAGTAATCCATCAGAGCATAATCAAAAACATTATACGAGGGTTCTAACAGAAGTTCTCGGAATTAAAATGAACATGGCGTCTAA